AACATTGGTGTGATTTGTGCGCAGCTCTGCCCTCCTAATTCCCAAATGCTATTTGTCCATGTAGCTCTGAAGTTGGCTCTGGCTGCTCTTGGCTGAACTGTGGCTGTTTCTGCCTTGGCCCCACAGCTGGGATCTGAGAAAACCAAAGGACAAGAAGCAGGGGAAGCTGGAGACATCGGAGGGCTGGGCCAACACCAGCTGGTCCCAAGTCTGCCTGGGGAACAAAAAGCTGATGGGGGGGGGGCTGGGATCCCTGCTCCCTGTGTCAGTCAACAGGAAGATGCTCCTTCCCATCCAACAGATGAGTCCTGCTCCTGGAATAATGTAATAAGGTGCAACACTCAATATGGCACAGACTGTAGCTCTCTGGGGGAGTAGGAGGCCAAGAGATCAAATGTTAGTTGAGTTTAATCAAGATGCTTTTCATAGAAGCAGTGGACTAGAAATGGGCCTGAAGCATTAATGGTGTTTGGATATATGGAAAGGAGGCTGTGGAGCCCCTGAAAATAAGCAAAACATCATGAGCAAGGGTGCAAATGTCTGTGTGGGGAATGGGACAGCACCGGAAGCGTGAGAAGTGGCAGGCAGGAGAGGGAGGGTGAGACCAGATGGAGTGGGGAAATGAGATGCAACTCTACAGGAAAGGCACGGTCATGTTGATTCTTAACAACTCAATATAGAAATAGGAAACTTTCCAGAACTACTGGGGCCTGAAAGACTAGCTAATTCAACCAGCACTACCACCCCACTCCCAAATTATTAATAGGGAAGTTGAAGGAGAAGCGTACGTTAAGTCACAGAGCAAGAGATAGTGACAAGTGTCAAGACAGGAACCCAGAGTTCCAGAAAATTAGTTTGGTCCTCTTTCCACTAGACCATCTCACCAGCCTGGTATTTTGACACAAAAGCAGAGAGATCTGGCAGCAGAAGCCAGGGGAATAAGAGAGATTACAGTTTAGGAGCTGAAAATACTAGTAAGGGTGAGTTGGTGGAGAGCAGATGTAAAGAAATGGAAAGGATGGGCTGGGTGTGAGAACCACAAAGGGGTGAGAAACAAGAAGACTTAGTAGGAAACGGGATATGGTAGCAAGGGAGAGTTCGCAGAGGCAATACACAGGTTGGGGGATTTCTCCTGGGGACACAAGCCACATCACCTCCTTTCCCCAGCCTCAAAGGCAGCAGGCAAAAATGAATAAAACTAGGCTCTATTTTTAGGTCCCCACCCCTGGTCCTCTCCCTTGGCAACCTCCATACAGATCCTCTCCTCTGTGTTGCCTGTTTGACATTTTAGGACCTTTGGTTTGACCGGGTATACCGATGCATGTATTTGGATGATTAATTCTGAAATAAAACCCAAACCAGAACCTAAGAGTATGGACCCCTCCGGGGATATGAGAGCCTATGGGACTAGAATATGGTGTGGGTTTTGATTTTTGGTATGAGGAACAGGGAAAACAGAGCAAGAAAATAGGAAACTGTCTCTCATCACCCAGGTCCACCTTGACATGGAAACACAATAATATTTGTCATAGTGTACAACTGTGGCAGTGCGAAGGATGAAAAATATTACTCAGAGAAGAGACGAGGTTTAATTACCCAGAGGCCCCAGACAGGCTATCTCAACTGAGAGCACCCAGAGTTAGGAGACTCCCAGGAGTAGCTCTGAAGATGACAACTCTCTGGCTTTAATTTACAGTATCAGTGTAAGAGTTAAAAAAAGAAAAAAGCATTTTAGGCAAGGAACTTTCTCAAGGCTAGGCAGTTTTTTTTGGGGGGGGGGGTAGGGGAAGGACAACTGGCCAGACACAAGATGCTTCATCCATCTAAACATTTTGTTCTTTAACCATTCACTCCTCACAAAGCCTGCATGCTTTGGCCCCGCACTTTAACCATTTACTCCTTGGCCAAGTCCCCCACAGGTAGTAGCCGAGTGACAGAAGGCTAATGTCAGGACGGCAATCATGAATCTAGATGCTAGAATGAGAAGTTAAACCAAGACCATGTGGGTCATTATACCTAACCTTGGCTGAAGGAGGATCACATGAAACAACACTAGTAAAAGCTAATATATAGCCACTGTGCTTATCTTACTTCATTTAATGATCATAGCAGCACCATGAAGTAAAGAGAATTCTGTTTATGAATGGGGAAACAGAAGATTATAGAAGTTAATAAATTAGCATAATGTGACAGGCCTAGCAGTGTTGGAACTGTCTGATTTTTTTTTTGGTACCGGGGATCAAACTCAGGACCTCATGCTTGCCAGACAGGCATTGTGCCACTGAGCTAAATCCTCGGCCCCCGGAACTACCTGATTTTGAAGAGCACATTCTTAATCTTGCTTTTCCTATAAGTCAAATTCACAGAGCCCCTGACCCACTGTCCTTGGTGGGGCTCAGTTCTCTTCAACCCATTTCTTACTAGGGCTGGGAGTATCACTGAAACCCAAAAAGGTCATACAGAAATTTCTGGAAACCTTGATATTTCTGAGTTAGTCTGTCATGAAATTATATTGCCCATACTTAGACAGTTTGATGAAACAGGGGTAAGTGCAAAACCAAGCATGTGTATTAGGCACTATGACACAGTGATTATGAGCTTGGATTTAGACGCTTAAATCCTAGCTTTGCCAAATTCTTGCTGTGAGCCCGATTAAATCACTCCTCTAAGCTTCTGTTTCCTCATACATAAAATGAACCCAATGCCACCTGATCTCATGAGGTTACTGTGGGAAGTATATGTAACACATGCAAAGCACCAAGTATGGCCCCTGACACACAGTATGGGCCCAAGAGATGTTGGCTATTATGATTATTGTTACCATTATCGTCATTTTGCCATGCAACTATGTCAGTGACACTTGGCCTTTGCATCTGACCGAAATGTGACAGTGAGCTTCCTAATGAGGATGAGTCCCAAGTATATTATGGCTTCTACTGTTCCTGTCACTCTCTGGGCTGAGGGATAAGTGGTAGCTCAGAAGAGAAAGGGGGCAGAAGGTCCCCAAGAGGCTACGACATGGAGTTGGAATCCATCATCTGACATTTTAAGAGCCCAACTGTCTTCTTGAGGAAGGATAAGAGGGAGAGCTGTGTCAGGATATGGTGGAAAGGCACTTGGGGACAGTGTTGGGAACATAACAAGAACCCAACCACCCTTAGGATGGCAAGCCCAGGAAGTGGAGGGATGCGGAAGCTCATCCCATCCTATATTTACTTATTTTCCATCTTGACACACCATAGCCTGCCTTCATAAGATCCCATTAGGAGTCTCTGGGATGGGGAAGAAGAGGCAAAAGAAACCACAACATGTTCTTTTGGGAAAAGTCATTACAATGAAATTTATTAACACATGCCAGCTAGTATTAGGATTACCTTGCTTATCTAAAGGTATTTATCAGCAGGGCATGGTGGCACATGCCTGTAAACCCTGCACTCTGGGAGGCTGAGGCAGGAAGTTTGAGCCCAGCCCAGGTAACTTATGGCCTGTCTCCAAATAAGAAATAGAAAGGGTCCGGGATATAGTCAAGTGTGAAGGCCCTGGGTTCAATCCTCAGTCACATACACACAACCATTTATCTTTTGATTCCCCAGAAGTTAACCAAAAACCAACAACCAACCAGAAACTTGTGTACCCTCCCAGGAGTCAGAAGAGGGATCACAAGGCCCCTGCACTGAAGGCTACAACTTTCATAGCAGGAGAGTCCCTGAAGCTCTCTCTCAGCAACTACCCAGCTTCCTTTACACATGGCATCAAATAACATGATTGATTTCTCAGTCCTCTGCACACTGGAGTTACAGACTTGATGTGAACAGAGGGGCTGCTAGTACCTCTACATGAAAGGCTCTGAAGAGCGCCAGCTGGCAACCCTGCCACAAGGGAGATGACACAAGCTCTGAAAAAGTTGAAAGAACTGAGAGGGCAGCTGCTGGGAGCCACATGGCGTAGACACAAAGAGCTATCCACATCTTCATAGACCAGAGGGCACCACCTCTAACATGAAATGTGGTCACAAATATTTTAGCCCCCTAGGGATGGCACAGCATTATCAGGGATGGCCATATGACATGATTTGGCTTATGAAATATGAGTGGAAAAATAAGTGTCACTTCTAGATAAAATCTTTCATAGCTGGTAGAGGTCTCACCATGTGGATTAGTCAGCTTTCCTATTGCTGGGACAAAATACCTGACAATACCCACAATTTAAAGGAGAGGATTATTTTGGCTCATAGTTTCAGTGGGTTCAGTCAATAGTCACCTGGCTCCAAAGCAGAATCGCATGGTAGAAGGGCCTGGTGGAGAAAAGCTGCTCATATCACGGCGGTCAGGAGGCAGAGAGAAAGGAAGAGCAAGGGACAAGAATACAACCTTCCAGGTAATGCCTCCAGTGACCCACCACTTCTGACCAGTCCCTTCCTACTAACTGCAATTCAGTTACTGAACTATTCAGTAATGAAATCCACTGATGAATATAGTATCTCCATGATCCAATCACCATCCAAACAAATGAGAATTTGGGTGAACATTTTAGATCTAAATCATGCTACTATGCTTTCTCCAGTGCTACCATGGTGACTGGCAATGCTTCCCCTGAGTGGCAGCTTTGCCAGCATGGGTCCCAGAGTGAATAAACATGACACAGAGTATGGCCTACAGGTGTTCCACAGAGGACAAGATACAAACTTCTGTTGCTTTTGGAGATTACTTGTTATACCATATAATCTAACTTGACTGACACATCCTAAAAAACTAAATGAGGGGGCCAGGGATTTAGCTCAGTGGTTCCACCACCTGCCTCACAAGCAGAAGGACCCAAGTTCAATCCCCGGTACCAAAACCCCCCCAAAAAACGAAAACAGAAACTAAATGAGGTTAGTTCACTTTAAGAAGTATGTGTGAGGGGCCGGGGATTTAGCTCAGTGGTTTCAACGCCTGCTGCACAAGGACCCGAGTTCGATCCCAGGTACAAAAAAAAAGAAGTATGTGTGTGTTCCACCGATGCTGAGGTGAGGTGGAACAGCAGGATCCTGGCTGGAGGCTGGCAGCAAAAGCCAGAGGCCATCATCCAGTTGCCTGGTGTCTGGGGCCGTGGCTCTCTCACCTGCACAAAGTGCCCTGGGTGCTGCCTATGGTACAGCCAAGAGTGGCACCAGCATCGCAGCCATGTCTGTCATGTGGCCAGAGCTGATCATGAGGTCCATCATCCCAGTGGTTATGGCTGGCATCATCGCCATCTACGGCCTGTTGGTGGCAGTCCTCGTCGCCAACTCCCTGAATGAAGACATCACTCTCTACAGGAGTTTCCTTCAGCTGGGTGCAGGCCTGAGTGTGGGCCTCAGTGGCCTGGTAGCTGGCTTTGCCATTGGCATTGTGGGAGATGCCGGTGTGCGAGGTACTGCCCAGCAGCCCCAACTGTTTGTGGGCATGATCCCGATCCTCATCTTCGCTGAGGTGCTCGGCCTCTACGGTCTCATTGTGGCCCTCATCCTCTCCACAAAGTAGCCCATCTCGAGCCTACCAGCCACAGAATACTATGTAAAGACCATTCCCCTCATTCCAGAACGAACAGCCTGACACACACCCACAGGCCACCACCCCCTCCGTAGTTGGCCTTGTAAATGCAGTGTCCTAGTGCCCATCATCTGTTGCCCCGCCTGCCCCTTCCACCCTGTGCTGTGGACATCTGGGCCCACTCATCACCCATCCAGGCTCCAGACCAGTGAGGATGCCGGCGTCTGCCCCCCCACCCCATCATCCTAGAGTGCTCTGTGTATAAGGATGAATTAAGAGTTGTCATTTTTCTCTTCACTGGATGTTTTATTTATAAAGATTTGACCTGTTCGTACTTAAAAAAAAAAAAAAAGTATGTGTGTTATCTTTAAGGTAGATTACCATTCAAGAGTCAATATATTGCTGGATAAATGAGTCATTATCAGAACATGTACTGGATGGAGAGGGGTCTGGTTTCTGAACCTGAACCACTCCTTTCTCTTTGGAGGCTTCAGGTCTCCTGTTCAGGACTTAGCAAATCCACCTGCATTATTTATGGGTCTAAGACAGAAACTGGGTCTCACATGCTATTGGCGCCAGAACCAGCCCTTCAGCATTTGGTATACCAGCACTGGGGTGGCCTAGAGCTGGTCCTGAGTGCTGAGGGGTTCTGGTCCCCATGTTGGGGCTTTTATCCCCATGTGTGTGCTCTTACCATATGAAATCCATGTTGTGTTGTTGAGGAAAAAAGCAAGCCAACAACTTCAGAGTAGACAGATTTTTAAAGTATACATGGAACATTTACAAAATCAACCTCTCACTGGGCAACAGTTAAGTTTCAATAAATCTTGAAGGATGGAAATCATATGGGTCATTTTCTTGGACCACAAAGCAATTCATCTAGAAAATAGTAACTATAACTTAGAAAACCCTCCTATATTTGCAAAGTAGAAAACACACATTTTAATAACCCGTGGGTTATACACTCTCTCACTTAATCTTCCCAACTATTCATAAGGTAGATCTTTGAGAAATGTAGGAAACTGAGATTGGAAAAAGAATATCATTTGTTTAAATTTACCCAGTTGGCAGTGGTGGAACCAGACTAACTCCAGAGCCCAGGGTTCTAATGATATCCTCCTGACACTATGATCGTCTTGCTTGCTTTGGGGGCCCTGACCTTGAACTACCATGCACATTTCCCTTTTGTTCTTGCTTCTTCTGGGGTCCTCTTCCTTGGACTAAGGTGAGAATTCTTAGAATCTCAGGTGGACGTTCCCACCCAGCTTTGAACTACATCACTAGGAAGACTTCCTTTCCTTTTAAAGATTTTTTTTCACAAAGTGGTTAGTGAACAAAGAAAGACAGAAGGAAAGTCACTTCCAGATGGTTCCCCATCTTGCTCTAATGCAGATTAAACAGAGAAAATATTCAACATATCATTAGGCAAACATGAGTATCAATATCATTTAAATTATAAATGAAACAGAATGCAAATTTGGTATCCTGACTTAAATTTGTGGTGAGACCCTCAGAGCAAAAGAACTGACAACGGGCCGGGGATTTAGCTCAGTGGTTCCAGCACCTGCCTCACAAGCGCAAGGTCCAGCGTTCAATCGCCGATACCAAAAAAAAAAAAAGAACTGACAATGAAAGCACCCAATTCTGAGTAAGTTGGAGGTTTGTGGCATCTGAGGTAGAAGGCAAGACCAAGCTGATCCTAGACCTCTCTGAGTTTGCACTGACCAAACCACCCCTCTCTTATGGCAAGGGCCTGTGTGAATGGCTACTCAGCAGTGTTATTCTACCTGCCCATCTCAACCTACTCATGTTGTTTTCTGTCAGGATATACTTTTGGAAAAATCCCAAAGGCACCCAGACCTTCTGAAGTAGCTCAGCATCTTTGGGCCTGCGTGTCTCTCCTTGGGTTCTGAGACATACTGTGTGCCCCCTGTGGGCTCAGGTCATTCAGTACTAAGTGCCTGAGGCTGTGTTTCTTGAAATGAGAAGACTTGAAAATAAATGGAAAATGCGACGATGGTTCATATCCTAGAAAGTTACCAAAAGTGCTCACACACTTCAGCAAGTGGCCCTGCGAGGAAGAAGGCTGAGGGGCAGGAAGAGTGCCAGGTCAGGTGAGTGGCCTGAAGATTTTCACCCTGTCCTTTGGCTTCTAACTTCTGCTAAAGACGCAACCCTGCCCCTTGGTGAAGGAGCAGGCCCACCAGGCTCACCAGGTTGTCTTCACTCCAGGCTTCACAGGCTCAGCTTGGACCTGGGGCACTTCCAGACCCACCCCACTGCTTGCTCCCCACTTCATCAGGGCTCAGGGTCCAGAGAGTCAGTTTGCCAATCAGTCAGTGATCAGTCCCAATGTGAGTTTAACATCAAGTCCAAGATTAAAGTACCCAGTTATTCACTCAGTGGTGTGATTACATCCTCACAATCTGTACAAAACGGTCATGCTGACCACTTCCTAAGGTATGGGCGCTCCTGGGCAGCCCCTAAATGGAAACTCAACTCATGTGATCTTTTACAAATGGCCAGTAGTGCCTATAGACTTGACAGATGGTGCGGGGCGCCTGGAGTGAGTGATGGTCCAACGCCTTCAATGAAGTTGTTCCACTGGTCATAGTCCTCTTGCAGGTCTGAATAGGGAGAAAAAAGGATGGTTAGGCAGACTGTTGTAAGATTAGGTTCCAGAGTTGCTATCCTCAATTCAGTGGGTTGTACTCAAGAGAGAACCACTATGGGATACCAAAAGGACTGCTTATGGTGGTCGTAATGGTGGTGTCACTGCCTTTTAAAAAACTTACATAATCCATGACAACTTGATAATGGTACCAGAGGGGAATACTTCACGAAGGAGAATTCATTCTAGGGACTGTGTCAAATGCTTTACGCATACCCATGCAATTTTCACAATATCCCCATAGGCTGAGTCCTATCATTTGCCCTACTTTAGAGTTGAGGAAATTGAGGCTGAAGGAAACAACCTGATTTGCCCAAGGTCATGACAGCTGATAAGTGGTAGGGCAAGAATTTAACCTAGGTCAGAAAGACAGAGAAAACGAAGGCTACTTCCAAGCTCAGAACATTCGTAAGCAAGAGGTTCCCAGTCCCCCAGCCAGTAGAAGCAAGGCCAGTGTCAGCCCAGGGTAAAGCAACAGGGCAGCAAAGTCATGAAGCAGCCTAACACCAGCCATGATTCAAGAGGGCCCCTAGGGGCTGGGCATTTAGCTCAGTGATTCCACTGCCTGCCTCAAAAGCGCAAGGTCCCAAATTCAATCCCCGGTACCGAGAAAAAAAGAGGGCCCTGAGATTGTGGGCAAGAAAGGTCGGAATGGGGCAAAGCCCTCAGGCCAAGGGAGGGGGTGCAACTGAGCAGGCAAACAGTTTGGGACAAAGAGAACCTGGGACTGAGACGGGGCCACTCTCATTCATCTTTGGATCCCCAGTGCCCTGCCAAGAATCTGGCAGGGAACAGGTCCTCAACACACAATGCTACATATTCATTAATTCAAGCCAGGTGCAGTGGCACATACCTACAGTCACAGCTACTCACATCTGACCTCAGAAGTTCAAGGCCAGCCTGAGCAATATAGATACTTTGGTTTTTTAAAAAAGAGAGACAGATAGAGAAAAGAAAAAAAAATTGATCCAGGTGTGGTAGTGCATGCCTGTAATCCCAGGGAGCTGAAGCAGGAGGATTGCAAATTTGAGCCCAGACTGAGCAACCTAGTAACTTAGTGACTTAAGACCCTGTCTCCAAATAAAAAATGCAAAGGGAGTGAGGATGTTGCTCAATGTAAAGACCCTGCACTACAAAAGAAAAATATCCCCAGTACCACAAAAGAAAGAAAAAAATAAGCATACTCACTATGTGCTACACTGTTTTTGCTGCTAAAAATATGTGCAAGAACAAAACAGAAACACTTATGTTGGGAGCACTGCTACATAATTCTAGGGATAAATCATTTGGTTAGCCTAGTTCTCTTGCCTACAGCCCAGCTACAGAATAACTCCAGTTTGGCCTCTGAACACAACTGAGACTTCAGTGATCCAGTGATGCTGTGATTCTCCAGGACAAGAAACATCCTGGGAGAACAAACATCTGCTCAGTTCCTCACTGTTCTTGGACTGATTAACATCTTGTTTGCCGGAGATGTACTGAACTCTCTGCAAGCCTTCCGTTACACCTTGTTTATCCCAGTGTGAACTACTGAACGCTCTGCAAGTCATTTGTTACATTTGTTTCTCCCGATGTACTGAATAAAAGGTGTGGTAAGCTGGGGGCTTTGTCTTTGCTGCCCAGAGCAGCACTGATCAGACCCAAAGCTCAGCTTCTTCTCAGTCTCATTTTTCTACTTTTCCTGTAATTCGCCGTGTGCTGCCGTGGCTCGCAGGAGACCAGGACTCACTGCAGAGGTTCTGGTAACGTCCCCTTCCCCTGTCCCCTACACACTTATCCTTAGAGAGCTCATAATCAAGTGGGCAGAGATAAACAATAAACATATTAAATTATGTAGGATGTGAAAAAGGCCTAAATGCTATAGAAAAAAAAAAGGTCCACATAAAGGAAGGAGTAGTGGTGACTAGGGGTGAAGGAGAGGGTAGAATGTTTCAAAAAGGGTGGTCAGAAGGAGCCTCACTGAGAAGCTGAGATTTCAACAAAGACTTGGAGGAGGTGGGAGTGAGCCAGAACATCTGGGAGGAGTGCTCCAGGCAGAGGGTGTGCAGTGCAAAGTCCCTGAGCCAGGCGTATGCCTGGAGGATGGGGGGGGGGGGGCGGGGATCATGTGCTGCGTGAAGTAGGCCAAGGGAGGAGCGGCAGGAGAGGCCAAGAGGGACTGGGCAGCTATGTCACACAGGCCCAGCAGGCTTCAACTCTCGGAATAATGGGGAGCCACTAAGGATTCTGAGCAGAGGAGTGACAAGATCTACTCGCTTCCTAAAAGAATCACTCTGGCTGTCTATTAGAAGACTCTGTTGGGGAACAGGGGCAAGCTGAGACCAGTTAGGAAACTACTGTAGTAATTTAGGAGGGACAGTTTGGACGGGATGGTAGCTGCGGCGGTGGAGACAAGTGATTATAGAGTCCAGGTGTGTTTTGAAGTTAGAGCCAACAGGATTTTCAGAGGGACTGGATGGGAAGTGCATGAGAAGAGACAAGGATGAAGCCTCCGATCTGAGTAACTAAAAGAGTGGAGCTAGTGCAGTGCTCTTCAATCTCCAGAACTGTGAGCTAAAAACACCTCTTTTCTTTATAAAGTACCCAGTTTCAGGCGTTTTTGTTATACCAACAGACAACAGACTAAGCCAAGGGCCAAGCATGAGCCTTGGAAGTAGCAATGCTGGCCGAAGAGCAGATAATGAGAGGAGAAAATTCACAGCTCTATCAAAAGCAGAGACAGGACTCCCCAGAAGAGGGCATCATCAGCCCTTTCAGGAGCCGCTCGCTGAGAGTTCCAGCGAGCTGAGGAGGGAGAAGTGACGACACATTTAGCATTGTGAAGGTTACCAGTTTTGATGGAGTATTGTGTCACAGAAGCCTGAAGTGAGTGAGTTTTAGAGAGAAATTAGAAAAAGTGAAGACAAGGTGGGAACCGTGGCGAACACCTGTAATCCCAGCATTCTGGGAGGCTGAGGCCAGAGGATCACAAGTTTGAGTCCAACCTGGGCAACTTAGTAATTTAGCAAGACTCTGCTCAAAAAATGGGGGTGGGGATGTAGCTCAGTGCAGAGGCCCAAGTTCAGTCCCCAGTACCACAGTGCCACATACCCATACCACACACACCCATCACACACACACCTAGGCCCACAGAAAAAAAGTGAAGTTTTTTTTTTTGAGGAGTTTTGCTGTTTGCTATTACGGGAAAAACAGAAATGGAGGGGATACTGTGCTCAAGAGGTGTTTGTTTTTCCTATAGTGCTGGGGTTCAAACCCAGACCCTCGCACATGCTAGGCAACTACTGAGCTACACCCCAAGCCAAAAGTTTCTTGCTTTTTAAATAAGGTAAGAAAAATGAACCAGTAGAGAGGGCAAAACTGATGACCTAAAGTAAAGAGGGACAAACTGCTTGGTGCAGTCACCTTGAGTGGACAAGATGGCAGCTAGTGTGCAAGTGTCAGGCAAGCAAGGAGGGAGTTCTAGGGAGAGAGGGAGAGCTGGGTCTACACAGGAAGGGGGGGCGCATGTGGCATGGAGAGGCCGAGGAAGTGCTGCCAGCTTCTAGTTCAGTGATGTGGGAGGCAATTACTCAGCTGAGAGAGGCTGAGGAAAGAGGTGCTAGAGGGTTGAGGAAGAAGGAGAAGGTGTGAAATTGTCTTCCAGGGTAGCAGGAGGGAGGATGAGGCGATGGAGACAGGAGCCATGTGTGGAGTTAATACCTAGGCGGCAGCAGTCTTCTTCCGGGGAGGTGACATCTGAATCGGCAGGATGTCTGCACTCTTCTGAGGTGATTTTCAGAGTGAGGTGTGGCTGAGCCACCTAGAGCCTATTTTAGTTTCTTATGTGACAACACACTGTGTGGCCACCAAAAAGCTTTTCTCTCTTTGTAAAGCTAATCAGCCCAGGCAGAGAGCCTTGGTCTTTATTCAGTTTCTGTCTTATGCTCTGTCACCTGGATCACTGCAAAAGATTTTCAGCGGGGCTCTTTGCGTCTTACTCTCTCATCTCCATCCTCTGAGACGCAGGCCAACTGCAAACACAAGTCTAGTCATGGCCTTCTGCTGAAAACCCACCAATGGCTCATTATGGCCTATGAATATAATTCAAACTTACATGTATAGTTGTTTTTTTTTCCAGTATTGAGGATCCAGGGCCTTCACACTGAGCTACATCTGCATCCCTTTTTATTTTATTTTTAAATTTTGAGACATGGTCTTGCTAAGTCACTAAGCTGCTCAGGCCGGGCTTCAACTTGTAATCCTCCTGCCCCAGCTCCCCAGAGTGCTGGGATTACAGGCATGTGCCACCATGCCCAGTAGGACATATATGTTTGTTGCACACTGGTGGGAAATGCAAATCCATCCAGGTCATCTAACTAGATGTTCAGTGTCTGGAGCAGAGAGGTGACAGTTCTGCTGTTCCAGTGTTGGTCTGACCATCTCTAGCAGGTCATGTTCAAGTCAAGGCATCACCCTTTAAAAGGGGCACTGACAAACAGCACATCCAAAGGAAGGGGACAATGAGTGTCAGCATGGGGGACTGAACAGGAAAAAGGTGCGGTAACAGGGAATTTTAACCTAACGAACAGAAAACTCAGAGAGGGCATCTGAGGTGACTTCACATATCCAAAGAACTGCCATGTGCCAGCTAAGGCTTCTCTGGTCAGCTCTTGAGGGATAAAGAGGGGAAGTGCTGGGTACAAAGTATCATATCTTGCTATTAGATCAGAAGCCAAAGCTTAGCAGTCCAGGAGAGCCTGGGCCCTCCTGATGGAAAGAGCCCTGTTCCCAGCAACTTCAAGGATGGTTCAGCCTCATGAAGGAAATGGTATCCCCTCCTTTGATTGCATCAGAAGGGGACATCTGATCACGAGAGCTCCAGGCCTAAGTTGGACAGTGGCCCACAGTGGTTCGGCAAAGATGACCTGATACAGGTCAATTTGTTTCTCTTGGGAACCTGATGTAAGAAATCCAAAAAATATGGCTATGAGCAGTGAAAGCTAAAGAGGAAAGGAATAAACCCACAAGGCAGACAGAACAAGCCACAAGCAGTTGAAGCCAAGTAGGGTTACAAGGCAGCAGAAACTGAATGAATAGATGCTATCAGCAAGAGAAAAACACAGAGCAGAAAGAAAGAAAAAGGTAGATTGGGACCAAAACAACAACCAAAAAAAAAGAGAGCGATGTCATGAGAGGAAGGGACTGAGAGTGGGCCTGTGAGACAGACTATATGAGAGGTCAGTCTCACGGGTGACCTGAGCTTCTATAATTCTGCACTGCCCCCCCACCCCCCGTCCAGCCATACCCTCCTAAACAAACTTCCTGTGTTTCTCAAGGTAAATTAGTGAACGTCCAGTCTTTAAAGATAAAAAAAAATCTTACCTAGAATCTCAACCCAAAACTGTTTAGGTTTGTTTGGTGAAGAGGGCTTGATTGTACATCAAGGTAGATGCAAGAGGACACTTCCTTTGGGTGGAGGCTGGACCAGCGACCTCTAAAGGCCTTGCCAGTTAGGTGGTCTGTGATTTATGACATTAGTCACAATCCTTCCATGCTTGGTTTCTTTAAACCACTTCGATATATTTAGCCCAGTTATCATTATAACCTCCCTACAATGCCTATAAGGTGACTGGTAAGGTTAGATTAGGACAGACATGGTGGAGTATAGAGAAGCCAATGGCCTGTTTACAGTGAGGAAATCAAGCCGAGACAGTTAAATGACGAGGCCTGGGTCATTTGCCTAGTAAGAGTCAGGGTAGGATCTCTAAACTTTCAAGTAAATGTTTTTTCTATACTTCTATGTAACTCTCCTTCACTCAGGCCCCAACCATTATCAGGATAGACCACTGTGCTGTGGAGAAACTCGAGGGATCCCATCCCTGCCCCGCGGGCCCCAGTTCACTTCTTACCAAGGTGCTTCTGCAGGAAAGCCAACATGGCCCGCACCATAATCTCCTGACCTTGGTAGGGGTCCAAGCTCCCACGGGTTTGAGCGGATAAGAATTTACCAAGCAAGTTGCCAGTCGCAAAAGCAAAGTCAGTTTGACTCCGATGAATAGAGCCACTAGAGGAAAAGAAAAACAACTGGTAGGAGTCTGGGAGTTGGGCATACGCATATGCATCCACTGTGCACAAGGTGCTTTCCACACATTACCACATGTAATTTTCACACCAACCTTGTCAAGGACCATCCCCTTTGACAGAATCAGAGGAGGTAAGCAGTCTGCTCAAGGTCATGCCGATAGCAGGGAACAAGCTAGAATTTAAACTCAGGTGTGCATAGCCTCAAAGCTGCCGCAATCCCTAGACCACAATGCCTGACAATGCTGGGAAAAGGCTGAGCTTGATGGAGCCGGAAGAGAGGCAGGGAGGCTAGGTCTCCAGCACCTGCCATTCTTAGACGTTATTATAGTCTGTTTTGTCATGGCTTTCACTTAGTGGCTTCCAAATACTCACAAAATGCATTAGCTCCTTGTTAGGCTGTACCATGGCGTAAACAGAGAAAAGGAATTACTTGCTTTTATTTAAATAATAAGAAAAGTGAAGGCATGTAGCAATGAGTTTTTAGATTAAATCTTTTTGCTCTAAATACTTTTTGCGGGATTGAACCCGGGTTAATTTTGAGATAAATTACTCATAATTAAATTTACTACACAATTCAGTGAGGGATGGAAAATTTAAATGCTGTACAATCTGATGCCATGCTCCCAGGTGTAGTGGTCCATGCCTGTAATCCCAGCACTTGGGAGGATGAGGCAGGAGGATCACTGTGAGTTCGAGGCCAGCCTGGGCAACATAGTGAGTTTAAGGTCAGCCTGAATCACACAGTGAGACCCTGACTCAAAAACAAAACAAAACAAAACAAAAAACCCCCACAACAACAACGAACTATCTGATACCATGCAGAAAAAGTAATTTTAAAAAATGCATTCTTTAAGGCACACAATGTATAGAACAGTGAATACTCGAGCATTCAGCACTCAGTTTAAGAAATAATACATTGCCAGGCTGGGGGTGCAGCTCAGTGGTAGAGCCCTTGCCTAACATACATAAGGCCCTAGGTTCAACCCATAGCACTGAAAAGAAAAAAAGAAAAAGAAATACACACTGCCAGTAGCTAAGTCCTGGTTGTGAGCCCCATTCCAACTGTTTTCTCCCTTCCCTCCAGGTCACTACTGTCCAAGTCTAACCGGCTGGGGCAATGTTTCAGCAGGCCTATATTCTCCAATGCCATGAAATCAAAATGGAAGGAGAGGGCCAGGGATTTAGCTCAGTGGTTCCGCTGCCTGCCTTGCAAGCGGAAGGACTTGAGTTTGATCCCTGGTACAAAAAAAAAAAAAAAATGGAAGGAGAAGGGCTGGTCCCAGGGGGAGAGGCTGAGCCAAGCAAGAAGGCAAGGGCAGAAGACACTGACTGTCAGAGACTTGTGTTCAGTCAGAGGTTTGATTTCTGCTTTCAACCACCTGACTGATTTCAGAGGTCCACAGGTTCCTGAAATGTGACCTGGAACCCCTGATACAGGTGTGCTGTTAGGCTCAAGTACAGGGCAGCAGCAAATCAGGGAGACTGCAGCCCTGCCTCTGTAGCTCCAAGCCACTTCCTATATAGTCAGTGTCCCAGAGTCACTAAAAACTGTTTGCTCTGTGAAAAATGGCTCTAAAAGAAAATCAACCAATAATGCTAGTGAGGAGAATATAGTTTCTCTTGACCAGAATATAGATGGTTTATGGGAGAAAATAAATTCTAGAGTAATATGTGTGGATTTAGATATTCATGAAAGTTCTAAAAACGTTCTGGTGAATCCTCACTCTTCAAAAGACCCAATTAGATTCCCAAAGAGGCTGGAGATCTCTGGAACCATCCAGACCCACATCCCTTCCTTGCCATCTCACAATCCCAGAGACTACCAGGTAAGTCCTGTCATAAAGCCATATAACTACTGAAGAAAATCACTGTAGGTGGAGTTAAGTACAAGAGAGGGGCAGATATGAAATTTGAAGAACTTAAGACAGCAATTCAGGAAGTACTCATATAGTTAATTAATGGGTAGAAAGTTCTGGATGATCCAGAAGAAAAGGGAGGCACAGTTGAGTGGAAAATGGGGAGGACACTGGAATCATGACTTTGGGGCTCACTCACAGGACAGTTATGATCCTGGACTGTTCATGCTGGGCACATATCTTCTTCATCAAGTTGACACTCTCCACTGTCTGGAATTTCTCAGCATTGATAAAGAACACAGGGCCCTGGGCCTTGGGGTAAAAGTCTTGTTCCAGAGGAAACATCCAAGCATCCAGGGCCACAGCACACCTGGAACAGGACCAGATATTTGGAGTTGCCACACAGAAACCCAGGCAAGAATAGTTAGGGTGGTGGAGGGAGGGGTGTGGTTCTAAAGACCCAGAAAGCCAGGAAGAGGGCACAAAGGCCCATTCCCTTCAGTTAGAATCTTGGGCTGGAGATCACTTTTACCTGTTGCCAAAGATCCTTCTAGAGTTTACACTCCCTGAGAACAAGAATCAGATCTCTTCCCTGAACCTAATCTTAGATGGCTGATTCAGGTGACTCAGAACGGCACTTTATTCATTTAACAATTCAGAGAGCCTACAATGAACTTAACCTGTGCTTCTGATACAGAGCTATATGACAGCGTGCCTGCTCTCAAGGAGCTCCTATGCCAGCAGGGGAGGCAGACTGATGAGGTCTCAAAACAACACAGCTTACCACCCTAACTGCACAAGGTGCTGGATGAGCCCAGAGTCCATGTGGCTGGGGGGGTCAGGAAGGGCCTCCTTGGTGCCAAAACTATGTCACCTGTGGCCCTAAGATTTAGCACTCCCTCTCGACCCCTGTCTTCTCTGTCTCAATGAGAAATCTTCATATTCCACTTAAATGATAGATATACAAATGAAAAACCTCAATTTGCCCTTTTCTTTACCTCATGCATCACTAAGTCCTGAAAACTCTAAAACACATCTTGACTCCATTCCTTCTCTCTACCTATCCTAATGCAAATCCATCTTCTTTCAGCTTAATGCTGGCTCAACCTGCCTCCAACTGGTCTTCAGTCTGGTCTGGCCACAATCTACTCCTCATAGTAGACGGAAAGGTCTTTGTAAATGTAAGTAAGATTGATTTTTCTCTGCTTAAAATCCAATTATTCTCTGTCATACTTAGAATAAAATCTAAATTTCCTTATCCTGGCCAAAAAGTCCTGTGATCTGGCTCCTGCTAATCTCTGATCATGTCTCAAAATCACTGTCTCTCACTAGCGCCCCCCCCCCCCCCCCCCCCCCCCCCCCCCCCCCCCCCCGTCCCCCCCCCCGCCGACAGCCACCATCTTGCCGCCTCAGGGCCTTTGTACTAGCTGTTCCTGCTGGCTGGAATAATCTTCTCCTAGGTCTTGCATAGCTGGCTTCTTTGCCTTTCAAATCCCTTTCCAGACCTTCTAATGTATCAGCCTGTTTCATTTTCCTCACTGCGCTTAGGCACTGGGGATTTTACTATCTGTTAACTTCTCTACTGGTCTATCTCCTCCCATAATAACATAATTCCATGATATATATCAGATCTTTCTTTCCTTCTTTCCTTCTTCCCCCCTCCCTCCTTTTTTCCTTTCCTCCCTCTCTCCCTTTCTTTCTCTTCCTGGTAAAAGGGGATTGTACCCAAGGAGCACTGAACTATGGCCTCAACCTTTTTACACTTGATCTTAGCCAAAAGGCCGAGAAGCAGTTCAATCTTTTTAAATTTTATTTTGAGACAGGGTCTCACTAAGTTGCCCATGCTGGTCTTGAACTTGTGATCCTCCTGCTTCAGCCTCTTGAGTAGCTAGGATTACAGATGTATGCCACCATGCCCAGCTAGATCTTTTTTTCTGACTTCACCATTGACTTCCCAGCCCCTTAAAGAGTGCCTAGGACATAATAGTTGTGTAATAAGTCCTTGTTGGGTGAGCGAATGGTATGTGGAGCTAAGAGCAATACCATCACCATGAAACTCACCGAAACTGGGCCTCCTTGCCCAAAGCCAGAATAGCTGTGGCCCCTCCAAATGAATGTCCCATCATAGCCACGCGGCTCATGTCGATGCTACCCTGAGGAAAGAAGAGAGTCAGCCATGCCAGGAATATTTTTTAGGGAATCCCTCAAGGGCAAGAAGAAGAATTAGTGAAGGAATGGGATGAGGACATGAGTGGGAGAATCCATGACATTCTTTAGACCTCTAGGTCTAGCTTAGACGTGGAGAGCATGCCCAGCATGCCTATGACCCTAGCTTTGATCCACAGCACAAGGGGAAAAAAATGAACCTCTTGCTTAGTAGAGAACAGACAAGGGGCCGGGGATTTAGCTCAGTGGTTCCACCGCACCCAAGTTCAATCCCCCTACAAAAAAAAGAACAGACAAGACAATCATCAGTATAAATGGTCTTCTGTAGGCAGGAATTCTGAGAACCAGATTTTCTACCTTTTCTTGGTAAATCTTACCAACTACCAGTACCTGGCCTAAGGTAGACATTCAGATATCTATGAATAAATGAACAGCAGAAGCTGTCAGGTTCCACAGTGGTGCATCAGTGCAGGAGGTGCTGAGATAAGAGGTGATCTCCACACTCTAGATTCCTTGCCTCATGCACTGGTCCTGGGGGATGTGACAAGGACCATGCTGAGGGTAGGAGGGGGGAGCTCCTGTCACCCTTCCACTTTGTTCTGGAACATGGACCACTTGTGCAGGAACCAGCTCAGGTTCTACCTCCTTTTTAGATATCTGTCCTGATTTTTATCCAAAGCCCAGGGGAAGAAAAAGTCTATTTGCCCTAACTGTTCTGCAAGTACCTATTTCTGGTTATCCTCAGAAGCCTTCAGGGCATGGTTATATAAAAAGCCACTGCAGCCACCTGCTAAGGGGCTTGGAAATCTCTCCAGGCTCTGTGGCTCAGTCTGCTCTGAAGCCTTGCCCCCCACAGCTGTCCATTGTTTCTATCCCAAGGCTTTGTACCTAAATCCTCCCCTTCATGCAGTTACCTTAAGATCAGGAGCTTGGGTAGATGGCCTCTTTAGTTTTTCTTTCTTTTTTTTTATTAGTGAAAATATTCATGTACTGTCAAAATCAGAAGTATATAGAAAAGTCTGCTGCCTACTCAGCTTCATTTCCTCATAGTGGCTACTTCCTCCCAAACAGGTAACTGTTTCTTACGTGTTCTGGCAGTGATTGCTTATACATATACAAGTAAACATGACCATATACTCTTCCCCTTTTTTGTTAAATGTTATATTCAGCATTTTTTTTTTTTTTTTTTGCAGTACCGGGGATCAAACTCAGGATCTTGCGCTTGTGAGGTAGGAGGAAGCACCACTGAGCTAAATTCCCTCCTCTCTTTTTGCAAGTGGTTCTTTGTCTAACATTTTTGTATAACAATATTAGTATTGGTACTGGGAATTGAATTCAGGACCTTGCACTTGCCAGGCAGGAGTGGCGCCACTGAGCTACATCCTCAGCCCTCCTTATCCTTTCTTACAGCTCCATTTGACTTCACCTTGGGTGGAGAGCTAGCTCATCATCACAGCTAGACTATTTCACCCGGTAACATATGGCCCTGTGATGGAGTTCTAGCCAATTGAATGTGACCAAAGATAATATATCTGTTCCCAAATCTGGTCCATAAAACTCTGCTGTACTGTTTCCTGTTTTGTTGGCTTACACACAGCAAATGTGGATTGGTGAGTCAAAGAGGGTAGAGCCCTAAGATAAAAGGAGCCAGGATCCCTATATTACCACTTATACAGGAACGCCTTGTCAACATTATGTAGAGAAAAATTTCCATTGTTATTAAACCACTGAAATATTAAAGTTTATGTACCATACCAATGTATATTGCTCAAATAATACATACACTGCTCCATAATCTATTAGCCAGTCTCCTGACTGGTGAACATTTGGGTTATTATCAATCTCTATTATGAACACTGGCATGAATAACCTTAGACACACATCACATTGCATGTGTGCAGGGGCCAGGGATTTAGCTTAGTGGTTCCAGCGCCTGGCGCGCAAATGCAAGGTCCCGAGTTCAATCTCTGGTACCAAAAACATTGCATGTGTGCACGTATTATAAGTTAGGTTCCCAGAACTGGAAACTGCTGGGTCAAAGAATATGTGCTTTCATAATGTTGACAGCTCTTGCCAAACTGCCTTCCATGGGGCAATTTGTACTTTCACTGCCAATATAGGGAATATTTATTTCCCTACAGCTTGTCAACAGAGGGAATAATCAATTTTTGGATTTTATTCAATCTGATAGGTGAAAATTTACTTAGCTTTTAAATTCTGTATTTCCTCCAAAAGGCTACACTTTAAATAACCCACCTGGACTACAGCCTGCTATTCCCTGAGGCTTGTCTCAGGCTCCCAGGCATGTGAACCCACAATTCAGTGCTCAGGACCCCTGCTTCTCTGCAGGGGACTGATGATGCTAAATAGCTAGGAAAGCACTCTAGACTCCACCAGGCAGATGCCTCTTTCTGGAGGTCATCAATAGAGCCTTTAAAAGAGATTTTCTAAGAGCCTTTAGGGGCACAGAGCACAAGTTTTGATATCAAAAAACCTCAGTTTAAGGTTTGACTCAACCACTTACTTAGTTGAGTAATTTTTTTATTTTAATATTATTTTATTGGTACATTTTAGGTATATAATATAATGACATTTATCATTGGAAATTTGCACCTTTACATAATCCATCTTGGTTCTTATTTTTCCCCTTCCCCTGCCCTCCCTTCAACTCCTCCATCCCTCCCTATTTACAAAGACTTTGTTTCCATTTTTTCATTTTCTCATATTAATTCCATTCCCTTCTTTCCTTTTTCCTACCCCTCCCACTTTGCGTTCCCCTTTGCCCCTTTTCTTTCTTTTTCACATTATCTATTATACCTTTTAGTCCTTATTTACACTTTCAGTTTCTCACACTAGAGAAACTATTCGGTATTTACACATGTATGTCCTATTTATTTCACTTAAGAGTATCGCCTCAATGTGCATCCATTTAGCTATAAATGTCTCTAATTTCTCATTTTTTATGGATGAGTAGTACTCAGTTTTATTAAAAAAACCACATTTTCTTTATCCAGTCTCCAGTTGATGGACAATTGGGCTACTTCCAAGTTTTAGCTATTACAAATTGTGCTGCTATGAACATGGGTGCACATATATCACTGTGGTATGATTCTTTTAATTCTTTGGGGAAGATACCCAGCAGGGGAATGCGGGGTCAAACGGGACTTCCAGTCCTAGTTCTCTGAAGTATCGTCATACTGATTTCCACAGTTGCACCAGTCTACACTCCCACCATTAGCTGAGTGATTTTGGGTAGGTCCTTAGCCTTTTGATCCTTGGTTTCTTTCAATGTAGAGAGGTAATAATACTGACTTTATAAGTTTGTGTGAGGAATTCTGATAACAGTGAATACTCAAAATGCAGTACATTCTTACTCGTGCAATGGAATATTACATGGCTACTGAAAATCATGCCATAGAAAAACATTAGTGTGAGAAGAATCTCATAGTGTTTTGCTAAGTGGGAAGAAAAAGGCCAGCTTTTTAAAAGCAGCTTTTTAAAAAATAACATTATTGTTTTAAATATACACACACACAAACTGGGCATGGTGGTATATAACCATAATCCCAGCTACTTGGGAGGCTGAGGCTGGAGGATCACTGTTATGGCTTGTATCTAGATATCCCCCTCACACAGTCATAGGTGGGCCTTTTTGGAGTCTAGAGTATGTGATGCTAGGATTAACTGTGTGGTGTTGGAATTAAGGGTGTCCCACCTTAGGTGTGGGTGGCACCACCCAAGGGACAAGTAGCCTAGAAGAACTACAAAAGCAGGCCTGCTGCTCCTGCTGCTTGCTGCTCATTGCTTGCTACTTGCTATTGCTGCCTTCTCCCTACCCTGCCACACCATGAACTGTTTCTTCTCTGCGATGTCCCCCTGCCATGCCACCCTGCCTTGGAGATAGCCAGCTATGGACTGAAACCTCTACAAACTGTAAGCCAAAATAAAAGTTTCCCCCTTTAACTTTGGATGTCAGGTATTTTGTCTCAGCAATAAAAGAAGTAGCTAAGACAATTACCAAGTTCCATCCTGGCCTGGGCAACTGAGGGGCTGGCAGCGGATGTAGCTCAGCAAGGGGCCCTGGGTTCAATCCCCAGTACTGTGCATGTGTGTGCACGTGTGCACACACACACAAACACACACACACGCAGAAATATAGATAGATAGATATATAGATAGAGCTAGAGATGGATAGATACACATGTTAATGAATCTTAAAACTAGAAAGAGAAACATCAAAATATTTTTTTTAAGAAAGTTTTTTTTCTTTATCCTTTTGTGTGATTTTTTTGGTTCTCTGAACAGAGCCTGAACTACCTTTGAAATTGGGAAAAGACTGGGTGGGGGTGGAGACTGTACCTTCACAGGCACTCAATCCCACAGCAAGAGTGGCTTCATACCCTCCTGGGAAGGTCCCAGGATTCCCTCAAGGGGAAGGAATTAGCCTGTAGTAGGCAGACACAGGTTGTTTGCTGCCCCACAGCTCTTCCCTGGAGAATGAACCATCTGTCCTCTATCCATGTGGCCCTGGTGGGGACCTCCATCTCACAGTTCAGAGTCCTGTGACCCTAAGTGGATGTAGCCCAGGTAGGTCAATCACAATACTCTCTCCCTCTAGCACAGTGATTGACCTGGGGATGGTGGAGAGGATGTGATTCACACTGGCCCAAAGCCTAGAACCTAAGAGAGTCTCGTCTCTTTTCTTATCTATCTATGTATCTATCTATCTATTATCTCCCAGGGCCTCCATACTGAGCTATATATCCAGCCGCTTTTTAATTTTTAATTTTAAGACAAGGTCTTAATAAGTTACCAGGTTGCTCAGGCTGGCCTCAAACTTGTGATCCTCCTACCTCACTCCCCCAGAGTGCTGGAATTACAGGCATGCACCATCATACCCCGCTCTTTTCTTTCTAATTCTGGAGCTATGAGTTGAGACACAAGCCTGGGTTGCTGGCAACTATTTTTCTTGCCTAAAGGAAAGTCTAATAACAATGAAGCCCACGTACACAGACAGAAACTGAGTCACAAGGAAAGGAAGGATGCCAGAGCTTTCACACAATGTCTGCAACCCTGCATCTACTGACACTGGCCTGAAGTTTGCCTGTGCTCTTGCTAGTCGTGTGCACCAGTAAGTTCTCTTTTGGGTTAAGCTAGTGAGGTGGGTTTGTTACTTGTAACCAAGAAAGTTCAGATGAATATTTGGGATCTGAGTCATACCAGTAGCTGCCATACCTTCAAAGTCATCAGATCCAACCCACCAGGCAAGATGTTGAGGACAGTCCTCCCTGCAGTGACTTCCTGCAGGATCCTCAGCACGTGCATGCACTCCTTTACCCGCTGGTGTACCTGGAACAGAGACAGGGTGATGGGAGCTGAAACACCCCACAACCATCTAGCACAAACCTTACTCCCCTAAGGGCAGGGTAGCTGCCCACATAGCTCAGCAAGCATGCCAACCCTTGAAGCTCACGAGAACACCACCTATGGCATAACGGGGTCAGCTCTATTGTTCAGACTCTGTCAGGGGGATCAGTGAGATGATGTACATGAAGCCATTTTAAAAACAAAAGGAATCAAGAATGCTCTTATTAGAAATCTAGTGCTGGGTTCTACTTGCCCATTTATAGCACATCTGTTGCTTTTGTCTGCCTAACACTTACCAGCCAACTCCCTTCTCCTGTTAACTCGCCTTTTGAGGATTATCCCTGCCCCAAATCTAATGAGGTATTTCTGCTTGGAACTTTCATTTTGGCACTTCTCCCCAGGCTATGAATTTCTCTCCAGAAGTTTTCAAACTCTGGCTTGGTGCAGGTATGGGAGACTGGGGACAATCCCTAAATAGCTCTATCCTCTGATGATGAGGCTGAACATATGCATGCTCAGACTTGTTAAGAGCTGTGATTCAAACCTTGGAAAGCAAGCCAGTTTACAGATTCACCCAATGGCAGAGAGACAGAGCTGAGCCAGTTCTCTCTGAGGGCAAGTCCTAATGGCATTTGAAGCTGGTTCCAGTGGCCTCCCCAAAGGTTCATGTATTAAAACCTTGGTCCCTAGGTGGCGCTAAGGGAAGTGATAAAACCTTTAGGAGGTGGGACCTAGTTGGAGGTCCTCAGATCACTGGGGACATGCCCTCAAAGGAATTAGAGGACCCTAGTCTCTTCTGCTTTGGGTTCATGAGGTGAAGGCACCACCACACACCCACAAACCACTGCCATCTAGCATCCCCAGAGCCTCAAAGCAATGGGTCCACCTGACCTTGGACTAGAATCTTCAGAACTGTGAGCTAAATAAACTTTTGCTCTTATAATTAGCTCAGGCATTTCATTATAGTGATGGAAAGCTGATTAATTCAGCGGATACAGTACAAAGAAAACAGGGTTATTAACTCTCCCTGCCCAATTGTCATAAGCCTACCTGGGGATTCCGAACATGGAATTCCTTTTCCCCTTCCTCAATTCGACGATGAGGGATCCATTCCTCCTCTAGTGACTCATTGGAGGGCTGGTTCTCCCCTGGGGCCTGCTTGCAGAAATAGGTAGCAGCGGCTGACTGGTCCCTGTAGTACACATGGCATCAGAGAGAAAGCAGACGTACTCATCAGCTTACTTCTTTCCTTTACCAAATCCTCCCTTCCAGCCAAGATAGTTAGGCTCCCCTTTGGCTGGCTGAAGGAAATCTGGGGACAAGCAAAGAAGAGTAAAAAAATACGAATTCTGAAGAAGACCTGGGCTTGAACCCTGACTCAGCTGTGTCAGTTTCTGCAAGTTATCTTTTTTTTTTTTTTGGTACCGGGGATTGAACTTGGGTCCTTGCACTTGCACAGCAGGCGGCCAAACCACTGAGCTAAATCCCTGGCCCCTCTGCGAGGTATCTTTGAACTCTGGTTTTCTCCTAAACTAAAGCACCGTGTCTTGTTAGGAGAATTAGAAATGATACATTGGGCCTGGGGGTGTAACTCAGTGGTTGAGCACTTGCCTAGCATACTCAAGGCCCTGGGCTTGATCCCCAGCACTATAAAACAAAACAAAATCTTTTTCAAAAAGGAAAAGAAAAAGAAATCATACATTGATAGGGAACTAGACTGTACCCAAGCTCAGTGCAGGTACCCACTCCATGACAGGTCATTGTGACTATCATCCCTCACCTGTGCTCTGGCACAACCACCACAAAGCCACGGGAGGCCAGCTCCATGCAGAAGGCTGAATAGAGTGTCCTAGTGATTCAGAAAACAACAGAGAAAGGGATCAAAAGAATGGCCTCACTTTCACCCCCATTCCAACCGTCTCTGCTAGTGGCCATCTCAAAGGACTAAGCAGAGGAGCCTGGTTTGGGGTAGCTCCTGCAGGGGCTCACTCCAGCCGGCAGAGCCCTCCTCTCCCAGTGTCTCCATGTCCTCCTCCAGGAAGTCCCTGCAGGTCAACCCACCCAACCCCACTAAGTCAGCCCAGCCCCAGCCCCTAAATGTGCTTTGGCTATTTCAATGTGTATATACTGTATGTCTTCCAAATCAGTTGTTATGTTCCTTGAGAACAGGGACTCTGGCTATTTCTTTACTATGCAAATCACAATTTAGCATGTAGATTTTTTGTCTATCTTCAAACTTTCCACGAAAAAAAAAAGAGAAACATGGCAAATACCACTGAGCACCTACTACAAATGCCTGTTTTTCCCTTCTTCCTCAATAATAGAAACTGATTTTTGATAACACTGTCAAAACGCTGTATTTTGCAGCCTCTCTTGTAAGCCAGGTTAGTCTGTGTGGTTAAGTTGTAGCCCAGTATGGTGCAACAGAAATACAGTACTAAATTTAAAAGTAATTTAAATTTTTCTAGCAGATATATTTTATTTTTATGTATTTTTGTTGCTGTTGTTGTTTTTTGAGACAGGGTCTGGCTACGTAGTCCAGGCTGGCCTTGAACTCACTATGTAACCCAAGGTGGCCTTCAACTTGTGGTGATCCTCTTGCCTCAGCCTCCTGAGTACTATGATAGTGCATACCTGTAATCCAGCACTCTGGAAGGCTGGGGCAGGACTGAAAATTCAAACCCAACCCAACTCGGGTGACTGCCTCAAAATAAATGGGAGGGTGTGCTGGTTACAACTCACTATGAAATCCCTGGGTTCAATTCCCATTACAAAAGAAAGAAAGAAAGAAAGAGAGAGAGAGAGAAAGAAAGGAAGGAAGGAAGAGAAAAAAGGAGGACTGTTTGTCTCCATATGTCCCTCCTTCCTCTCATGCCCAAAGCTCAACAGATGTCTACTGAATGAATGAAAATGCAGCAACACATAGCACTTACATTCATGTGATTAATTTTTTTGAAATTATTACTTTTCAAGCACCATCCTAGGCAGTGGGAGTGACAAAAGACAGACAATCTCTGCCTTCATGGATTTTAGAGACATAAAAAATAATTATAGCTGGATGTGGTGGCACACCTGTAATCCTAGCACGTTGGGAGGCTGAGGCAGGAGCATCATAAACTCAAGCCTAGTCTGGGCAATTTAGTGATTTAGTGAGACCTCATCTCTTTCTGGGGGTGTTTCTAAGAAAATAAAATTCAAATTAGACCTTAAAGGTAATTTGGAATTCAGGCAAGAGATGACAGGGAGAACAGAAGAGATGACCAGTACAGATAAAGACCTCAAGGCAAGAAATAACACAGTTCCTTTAAGTAAAAGAAGGTCAACTTGTCTTCTCTCTCTCTCTTTTTTGTACCAGGGATTAAACTCAGGACCTTGCACTTGCAAGGCAGGTACAGTACCACTGAGCTAAATCCTGGCCTTCTTTTTTTTTTTTTTTTTTTTTAACCAGGGTCTCACTATGTTGCCCAGGCTGGTCTTGGACTCAAAATTCTCCCATCTCAGCCACCTGCGTAGCTGGGATAGCAGGTGTGTGCCACAACACTAGGCTTCTTTGATTTTGAAGTCCAGTTTATTGCCTTCCCCAAAAAAGTGGGAAAAGCTAAAAGGAAACTTAAGAACCCAATCTTCCTATATCAATTAGGATTTGGGCAAGTTGTATTTAACAGAAAATTCCCCAACAATAGTGATTAAACATAATAAGGTTTCTCTCGCAGACAAAAGCTAGAGGTAGACAAGGGGTGGCAAGTAATTGTTTTAGCTTCTGGGCTATAGCACTGGAAGACAGTGAAAGTACCCACTTACATAAAAGCTAGTAATGAGAAGTGAAGGGTGTGAGGCTCTATCGGATAAAGGGGTTTTTGAGAGGCCTTTGAGAGAAGATGGACACAATGCTTGGTTTGAAGCAGATGGCAGATGACACCACCTGGCACATGGAAACATTCATGATTCTGCCCTGTAAGGATAACTTGAGACTCAGCACTTGTTACTAAGAATATGTTAAGGTCTGGGTTTCAGAAATTCTTACCTGAAAGCTCCTAGGCCATGGGAGAAAATGATCAAGGGGTATCCAGAGTCCTTTGTCTTAAAGGGGCCATTCCAGCTGACAGGCAGGCGACAAGATCCTGGCAGAGACATGGGCTATAGAATTTCTGGCTCCCCAGAAGTTATAATCCCAAGGGCAGACCAAGCACAGGCGTGGCAGGCATTTGTGTCTCTCCCACTCTGGAGAACCACAAATTGCCCCTAAGCACTCCAAGGCAATCATCACCTACTCTTTTCCTCTTTTCTTTTCTAGAAAGAGTGAACACAAAAAATGGGAAGATAAATCCAAACAGGTGCGTGAAGCACAGTGGCGGATCACATGCTCATGCACAAGGCCCTGGGTTCCACACCCAGCACCACCAAAACAAAAAAACAAACCAAGCAAACAAAAAAGGCAATACTCAACATTCTGGGGCAAATCCTTGAGATGCCAAGGCAGTAGAGTTCCTGGGCTTGGGACCTTTTGGAGGAAGTGGATGATTCAAGAGACCCCACCTAGAAAAGGGGAGGGCTAGAGGGAGAGCTGCAGGAGGCTATCTGCTCCCTGAGAGTTAAGAATGGCCAATTTACACAACAGCTGGCAGAGTGGGAATTAATAGCTGCTGCATAAAGAACTCACAGCTGCCACTTATGGGACCCATTCAATGTCCTAAGCACTGCACTAGAGGCTTTATATACATCCCATACTACAACCCTGCAAAGGCAGGAATTCAGATAAGGTAACTTGTCCAATCCCACCCATTACAAAAGGGCAGACTCTACAAGCTAAAAGGTACGGTGTCAACCTGGAGATCTCCTATGGACATAACCAGGCAACAAAGAAAACACGTAGCAGGGGCCAGGGATTTAGCTCAGTGGTGCTGCAGCTTGCCTTGAAAGTGCAAGGTCCTGAGTTCGATCCCCAGTACCAAAAAAAAAAAAACACCTTTATTGGGCCGGGGATTTAGCTCAGTGGTTTCGCTGCCTGCTGTGCAAGTACAAGGACCCGAGTTCCAACCCCAGTACCAAAAAAAGAAAACACATAGGGCCAGCCCAGCCTTACCCACAGCCAGGCTGAGCAGCAACCCCACCCAGCGCTTATTAAACTGCAGGTAATCAGCCAGGCCAGTGCAGTACTCGGAGCGGGGAATCCACAGTGGTTGCTCCGTGGTCTCTGCTGCCGCTTGGCAGGGGTAGAAGAGTCGAAAGAAGCTCCCCTGTAGAAAAGAAGAGAGCAGCAGCTCAGAGCAAAGTCCAAGCACCAGCAGACTTTGCAGCAGACACACACTACGGGTGTTTGTGGCTCTAGCCAGGAAGGGCACCAACACAGGGACACTTAGGTTTCATTACCATACCTGGCCTTCACTTTCAGGAAATCCAGAAAGAAGCAATTTTATTTTCAGCACACATGAAAGCCTTGTATTATTTCAAATAGCCAACTATTTTGAGTTACATCTTGGGTGGAGGGCACTAAATATTTGAGTGCTTGGGGCACTGAAAGATTTAAATCTAGCCCTGAGCTCAGGCTGGAAAATGTCTGGGAGCTAGAGATTGGCTCTCAGGTACAGTAGACACTAATTTTATATGGGAGTAGCTGAAGGGCTACGAGGAAGTGTGTGCCTCTCACAGGGAAGAGGGGAGTCCAAGGGCCAGCAGAGAAAAATCTAGACAATGGTGGAAGGAAAGCCCAGAAGAAGCAGGAGGGAAACATGATGGCAGGAGAGGAGATGAGAGGAGTCAAGGGCAATGACACATAGCCCTGCTCTTCTTATACATTTGCATTAGGATGAAATAAAAAAACCTTTCCATAATTAGGCATCTGCTCTCCAGATAGGGAAGAGGATCTGTGAGCTGTCTCTGAAGCTAGGGCCCATTTCCTCCTAGCTGAAGAAAGAATCCATTGTCTCTGTCAACTGGGAAGTTTTCTAATATAGTACTTGGAAAGAAGAAGAAAAACATCCAGGGAAGGCAGACCCACAGCTAAAACCAAGTCCAGGCCAGCTGTAAGTCGGACTCCCCTACCTGGAACTGGATACCCAGACCTGTGCTCATGAAGTCACAGTGCAGGCAGGCCATGGAGATGTACAGGGGTGAGGCTGGAGACACCTACCTGGAGACCCTGGCCCTCCATCACATCCCCACAGCCTACAAGGTGGGGTCCGGAGACAGGTGGAAAGCACATGGACTGGCTGGTCCCCATCTCATCACCAGGTGGACCAAACGACTGGAGCGATGCTAAACTTGATGGCTGGAAGGTGAAACACAAAACAGCCTCTTGCTGGTTTCTTCTTAGCTTCTTGTTCCTTATGAGTCATATGCCACCCCTATCTACTTCCTGCCCTTATCATTCCATCCTCCCTGCCAGTCACTCATTATATCATACAGATCATCTATTTTGCTACAATGACTTTACCAGGGTTTAGGGGAAGATTTTTTTTTCCTTGTAGGGTAAGAAGATGGTGAAGAGGAGAAAGAACTTCCATCCTCTTCAAAATCCTCCAAGGCCAGGGATTTAGCTCAGTGGCACCACACCTGCCTCTCAAGCACAAGGTCCTGAGTTTGATCCCTGATCTCCAAGTGCTTACTCAGCACCTACTATAGCAGCATAGCAGTAACTGCTGTAGAGACAACTGGGACCTTGCCCTCATCAAGCTACTAATAAGTTCTAGTATTTACTTTTCAGCACCATGCTAAGCACTGTATGTACATTATCTCACTTTGTTCTCTCAACAACTCTCTGAAACAGGTAGTATTAAGACCTGTTTTATAGAAGAGGGAACTACAGCATAGGGACGTCGAATAACTAACTCCCCAAGTTCCCCTGCATAAGGGTGGCAAATGCAGGTCAGGCAAATCTAGACACTGAGCTTTTAAATATGACTGGTGCCGGGCTGGGGATTTAGCTCAGTGGTTCTGCCACCTGCTTCGCAAGTGTAAGGACCCGAGTTTGATCCCCGGCACAAAAAAAGAAAAAAAAATATGACTGGTGCCATTTACAGGGTGACTCAAATTCTGACCTAAATTATTGATTCTAACACAGCACTTGTGTGGGGCCTTGGAAGATGGGGAGGTTTGGCGAGGCAGACAATGGGAGGAAAAAATTTCTAGACAAGACATAATGGAAGAGCACAAAAAGGTAAGAGGTCAGGAGTATGGCATGGGCAGATCAAATGGGAGCCTTCCTGGTGACAGATATGCCGGCTTCTGACTAGGTCCCAGTGACTTCACTGCTTTCTAAACTGCAGCTAATGCCATTGTTCCCTATCCTTCAATTTCTCAACACCATCATCATCATCACACTTAGTCTGCCAGGAACTCTGCCAAGTGCCTTACATCTATTATTTAATTTAATCCTTAAAACAGTCCTCTGATATATGTATTATTAACTCATTTTACAGGTGAGAAAACTGATGCTTGCTGAATTTAGGTAACTTACCCAAGAACACACAGCTAGCAGAACCAAAATCATATCATGGACAGTGTGGCTACAAAATGGAGATGTGTGCAAACATCCCAGGATCCACAGCCTGTGCCTTAGGTGGGGCTTACCTCTCCCTAACCTCAAGAGGCAGGTCCAAAATGACCAGAACCAATAGGTATTTTTTAGGCCCTGGGAAGATGTGGACAAAGAGTGGACACATAACATTAAATTGGTCCAATCAGAATAAAGCTCAAGACTTTGGTTTGATGGCCGAGGTGAAAAACATTCTTTGCTGTTTTGAACCAGCGTGATATACAGATGTCCCTTGTCAAGTGGCTTTGAACTATTGCACTCAGTTTGCCACCTTTGAGGATGAGGCTGCCCACAATGGATGGCAGAGCTGGAAGAATCTCAGAAAATAAGCCGCATTCATGAAAACATAAAAATCCCTGGATTGAACCATATCTGACACTTGCCCCACTCCTAGACTTTCAATTACCTGAATCTATAAACTCTCTTTCTTGTTTAAGCCAACAGAATTAACAGGGGCTGGGGGTACAGAATGCTTGCCTAGCATGAACAAGGCCCTGGGTTCGATATGCAGCACCACAAAACAACTAAAAACATAGAACAACTAAAAACATAAACCAACAGAATTTAGACTTTTATTGTTTACATCCAATAAAAGCAGCTCATAGTGTTAATCATCACATTCTTTTGCTTCCTTTAACATGCTCTGGGAGGGTTCAGAGTTCAAGTCAAAACATGCCAGGGTGAGAAGAGACCCCAGAGATCATTTCTGTTAATCCTCCTCACAATCATCTCCCCCTCCCTGCCCAGTACCTGTATACACTTTACTGATAAAGAAACCAAGGCCCCAGGAGAGTATGTGAGCTGGTCAAGGTCACAGGCAGAGCCATTATTACTCAGATCTGCTGACTGCCAACTCCCAATTGTCCTGTCCACTGGAAATCACTCCCCCTTATGGAAAGCCCCAAATAATCGTAACATCACTCTATTTAACATTAAAAGATAATAAATGATTTTATGAGCCCACGAGTTCAAGACTAAAGTGTGGGCCACATAGCAAGACCCTGTCTCAAAAAATAAAAAATAAACTCAATTGTCTTAAAAAAAGGAAGCTAATGGTGCTGGAAAAACTGGGTTTCAGCTTGCCAAAGATTAAACTAGACCCAGATCTTTCACCATGCATTAAACTAAAATCAAAATGAATCAAAGATCTAAATATTACGCCGGGGATATAGCTAAGTGGCATCGTGCCTGCCTCGCGAGCACAAGGTCCTGAGTTCAATCCCCAGTAGCAAAAAAAAAAAAAAAAAAACAGAAACACTAAACCTGCTGGAAGATAGGTTAGGTAAAACTCTTGAAGACAATGCCATAGGCAAAGACTTTATGAACAAAATCTCAGTCGCACAGGAACTAGCACAAAGAATCAACAACTGGGATCTAATCTTATTAAAAAGCTTTTGCATAGCAAAAGAAACCACCAATAGAGTGAAGATACAACCCACAATGTGGGAAAAAAATTTTCCCAGCTGTTCCTCAGACAAAGGACTAATATCTAGAATATATAAAGAACTCAAAAAAAATTAGAAACCTCAAATTTAAAGACCCAATCCAAAAATGGTCATCTGAAATGAATAGACATTTCTCAGATGAAGAAGTAGAAACAGCAAATAAACATATGAAAAAAATTCAACATTACTGGCCATTTGAGAGAGGCAAATGAAAACAATGCTAAGATTCCATCTCACTCCAGAAAGAATGACTGCTATCAAGAAATCAACTAATAACAAATGCTGGCAGGGATGTGGGGAAAAAGGAACCCTTCTCCACTGTTGATGGGTGTGTAGACTGGTGCAACCACTATGGAAATCAGTGTGAAGATTCCTCAAAAAACTAGGATTAGGGATCCCAGCTATTCCCCTCCTTGGTATGTTCCTGAAAGAATTAAAAGCATCAGACCACAGCAATACATGTGCACTCATGTTTATAGTGGCACAGTTTGTAATAGCTAAATCTTGGAAGCAGCCCAAATGTCCATCAACTGGTGATTGGATAAAGATTTTTTAAAAATAAAATGGAGTACTATTCAGCCATAAAGAAAGATAAACTAGGGCTGGGGATTTAGCTCAGTGATTCCGCCGCCTGCCTTGCAAGCAGAAGGTCCTGAGTTTGATCCCCAGTACCAAAAAAGAAAAAGAAAAAAAAAGTAAGATAAACTAGAGACACTTATAGCTAAATGGATGCATGTTGAGGCTATACTCTTAAGTGAAATAAATAGGACACACGTGTAAATACTGAATTGTTAGGTCCCAAGTTCGATCCCCGGTACCAGAAAGAAAGAGAGAGACAGAGAAAAGAAAGAGAGAAGAAAGAAAGAAAGTAAGTAAGTGATCTTCTGGGCCAGGGATTTAGCTCAGTGGTTGTGCCGCCTCGAAAGTGCAAGGACCCAAGTTCGATCCCTGGTAAGAAAAAAAAAAATACTGAATTCTTTCTCTGGTGTGAGAAACTGAAAGTGCAAATGAGGATCAAAGTGTATAACAGATATTGTGAAATAGGAATAAACTGTTCAAAGAAGAAGGAGAATGGAGGAGGAAAGAAGGGAGAGAAAAAAGTGAAAAAAGAAGGAAAAAACAGAAACAAAGCTTATATACATAGGGAGGGGTGGAGGGATTGAAAGAAGGGCAGGACAATGCAAAAAAAAATAAGAACCAAGATATCTCACGTACAGGTACAAATTCCCACTAATGAATGTGATCATAATGTATACCTACAATGTACCAATAAACTTGATGAATAAAAGAAAGAAGAAGCAGCTAAGCTCCTGATGTAGCCAGAGTAAAGGATGAGAGCTCCTCAGCCACAGCACCTGACCCTTCTTCCCCTCTTGCCGCTGAGGATGTGCGAGCGCACCCACACATGACCTACAGCTGGGCCACTGGACACGTGTCACCCACATGACACTGAAGCAGGGGCAAATTCCAACTGTCATAAAAGAGTCAGATAAAACAGCAGAAGAGTTCTGAGGAGAGAAGGCTCCCTAAGCCTGGGAGCAGAGGGCAGAGGAAGATGGGGAGGGCTAACTTTCAAGTGGAAGAGTGTTCAAAGGCAGAGTGTTAAGAAAGCACTCAAGAACCACAGTCGTTAGTGATGGGCTCAAGGGGAGAAAGGAAAGTTGTGACAAGACCTAGAAGGTAGCAGAGACTCAAGTGCCAGCCTAAGGAGCTGGAATCTGCTCTGGGAATGAAGTGGTGGGTGGGAGATAAATTACACCCAAAAGACGCACACTTAAACTCCAGCTCCTCTGCTGCCTAGTTTGCTCCCTTGGGCAAGTTATCTGACCTCTCCAAGCCTGATTTTGTTTGTACCATAAGAATCCTCTCCATTCTCATGAGGTTGCTATGGAAATAAAGTGAAATAAAACATTTAAAGCACCTAGCTTAGTACCTGGGTCTTAGCAAGTACCCAGTAAATATTTGTTGATTGTGTGAAAAGCAGAAACAAGAGGATTTGGCAACTGAATGGATTTGAAAAGTCAATGGAGAGAGAAGAGCCAGATATAATCAGGTTTCAGGATTTGGTGACCAGGAAGATACTAGCTTCTTAAGGGAAGAGACTTGTCTCATCCAGCATTGAGAACAGTGTTTGGAATAGGAATCAGAATAAGTGGACTTAAAACACACACACACACTCACACATACACACACAAGGGGTGAGGGAGAGGCAGATCATTTCTGAGAATGTCATCAATTAAATTCTGCTTGGAAATAAAAATAATTGCCCAGAGTGAGGCCAACATTAAAATGAATGTGTTCCTTAGGCTCACAGATTAATCCCCAAGTATGATAAGATGGAAAAACCCAATTTGATTTAAAATTTTGCCAAAATGACATCTACACAGAACAATCACTTCTAATAAAGAAGTGCCATGGAATTTTCCAAGGAAATCTGTCCAGATGTTGCAAAAATTCATAGTAGAGCCTTTCCATTCATCAAGGTCCAGTGAGATCTCTATGTCCTCTTGGGGGAGCTTTCCCAAGCCTCCAACTTTTTCTCCTCTCCACTCTAAGCATGGGCCCCATCACCTGGAAACCCATCACAGGCTGCCGTAGGGCTGTTCTTGGATTAGTAACTAGTCTAGAAGTTTTCAATCAGTGATTTGTCTGCAACAGTGATTCATGTGAAATCTAGATCAGAGCTTACTGAACCTATAGTCTAACCCCCCGGGAAACTTTTTATTTTCCCCTCAGTACTGGGGACTGAACTCAGAGGCACTTTACCCGAGCCCTTTTTATTCTGAGACAGAGTCTCACTAAAATGACCAAGCAGGACTCAGACTTGTGATCCTCCTGCTTCAGCCTCCTTTACTGCTGGGATTATAGGTGTGCACCACCACGCCTGGTTTCTCCTGGGGAACTTTAAAAAAATGTGTGTTCTAGGGCTCCATTCCCAGAGATTAATGATTTTTTGAGATGGAACCTACAACCTTGCACATGCTAGCCAAGCACTCTACCACTGAACTATATATATCCCCAGCCTCCAGTAGTTTTTTAAGCTTCCTAGGTGTTTCTGCTGAGGAAGGCTTGAAAACTGTTCCATATAGTTGATTCAGAGATGGGCACACAATCAACACTTACTGTATGCTGTTTTGGCCTCCTGTTTTGATGACAATTTCACTGGATATAGTCTCCATGACTACCTAGAAGCATGTTCCTGCCTGTTGCTAGGCCTAATTTTATGCCCCACATACAGCTGGTCTCAATAATTAATTTATCCAATGAATGCTATTCAATTTTACACAGATTTATGCCTTTCTCTTCAGATATAATCCAGGGGTAAAGACTGTGTTTTAGACTTCTTTATAAGTCAAACCATCTATCCGCAGGCTTTCCAAATAATTGAGACTTGATAAATGTACCTTCCTTTGGTTTTGATTTAAATCCTCTCCATTTCTGAGGAATGGAATCTTTTTGATCTAAAAATAAGGTTACAGGGTATAGTGGGGAAAGACTTTGATGACTCTGAAAGTCACCCTTGCTAATTATTAGCTGTGAGATCTTGAGAAAGTTCTTTAAACTCTAAAACTCTGATAGTGAATCCACTTGATAGAAACAACTACTCAGGATGTCAAAAAGGATTAAACAATGTATGTAAAGCACTGGCTGTATAAAAGGCACTGTAGCCATGAAGTAGCTATAACTTTAACTACATGACTTCTCTGAACCTAAGCTTTCTATATGTAAAATGGGAACACTTCATAAGTGAAATTTTATTTATTTATTTTTTGGTACCGGGGATCAAACTCGGGACCTTGCGCTTTCGAGGCAGGCAGCGGAACCACTGAGCTAAATCCCCGGCCCCCATAAGTGAAATTTAAATAAGGAAATTGACATTGTCTAGGGCCTGGTACATTTTAAGTACTCATAAAATGTCAGGAATAATGCTATGTCTCTCTTTCAACATACTCAGTTAAGGTCTCTTTCATTTTTCCTGGATTAAACCTATTGGCAAAATGGACTCTTACCTCTCAGTCTTTCCAGGCCCGAGATATCCCTGCCAAAGCCAGAGTCTACAAAACAGGCCCGGAAGAGCCCTAAGGGAATGGACAGGGCTTAACACTGCAGCTGTCCTCCTGCTGCCCACTACCAGCGTGTGGACCTTTCATCACTGGCTCTTTCAACACAGAGTCCAAGATGAGCACCTCTCTAGTGCTTCCTTTCAGACAAAGCTCCCTGGAGACTAAAAGCTCATTGGTTTCTCTGATCTTTAATCTCCGGAGGAAGTGAGGAAATACCACCCTGCTCGTAGATGGAGACATCAAGGTTCAAGGAACAGGCTGAAGTAACAAGGTGGCAGAACTTGAAACGCAGCCCTGATAGGGGTGTTCCAAGCTACTAATAAATGTAATAAACAACTTCTGTCGCTTGTGGAGGCCTTACAGTTTAAAAGCACTTTCACACCCATTAGCTTACTGGATCCAATACACAACTTCTTCCTCGACTGATGGTCATCTCCATTTTATAGATGAAGAAAGTGAGTCCCAGAGAGGTTGTACGACTTGTCCGAGGTCACGGACAGTGGGACGTAGAGCTGGACTAGTACCCAGTGGGCTCACTTCCAAGTTTCCAGCATCGTTAAGAAGAAATGGGACCCTTCTTCCACCAGCATGAAAAACAGGACAGTGAGCGTAGAGTGAAGCACACGAGGTACGGAGGACACATAAAGAAGTCTTGATCTCGGGTAGGTGAGGCTGTGGGGTCAGGCTGGGACCGAGGTCTCCGAGAGGGATTCCAGGAGTGCCAGAGTGAACCAAGAGGTGAGAGAAGGGGGGTTAGGGTGTGGGTGGATACTGGAGGTGTCTGAATGGGACCCAGAAAGGACGAAGATTAGAGGTTAATGTGCAGTTCCTGAGGTTGAGAGACGAGGAGCCCATGAATCAGACTGGAATATGAAAAAGTCTCCAGGCAGCTCAGTTCAGAACAACAGCTTTCTCCAATCAAACTTACCCAGTCAAGGTGATCCCTCAGAAGCAACCTCAGATGTTTCACTAGACGGAAACGAGAAACCGCCCAGGAGCCGTGGCCCTTTGGTAGTTGTAGTTTCCAGGACTCAATATGGACGCTTAAAAGCACGTTCTGCCTCTCCGCCTAGAACTATAACTTCCGAGGTGCACCGCGAGAGACCGCACCTAGCAACCCCAGAACTACAATCCCCAGAGTTCTCCGCACGCGAAACACCCGGGGATGCAGTGCGATTCCTCCCCCTGGTGGTAGTCTAGGGAGCAGCCGGCACGAAGATAGGTTTCAGCGGAGGATTATTCTTTATAGCTCCGGTAAGTAACCCTCCGCCTCACCATTCCTCAAATAGCTCCCAGGCATGCCTAGAAATAACCCTGATTTTTTTTTATTCTCAGGAAAAAGAGGAGGAGGTCATGGATTGTTTTGTGTTCCCCTACTCTTTGCTTCCTGTGAGACTATGAGACTGATGATTCATGTCAAAGGTGTTTACCCTACCAACCTGCAGCTGTTGACAACAGGGATTTTCCATTGTTTGTCTCTCTCACTAGCTTCGATCTAGGGAGTAACCTGAGATGTCAGCAGGTTCACATATGTCCTTTCATTCATCTTGCACTTTACTCCCTTATGGTAGTTCTTAGGGGATACTCTGGTGGAAAAGATACTGTCTCTAGCCTCAACAGAATTCCCAGACTAGCAGAGAATTCACACAAAGGAATAATTACAAACAGTGCTGTGTGCTCTAATGGAACAAACAGCGAGTGTGGGAGCCTTAAAGGGGGACACCTGCCGGGGACTGAGGAAGAAGGAGCTGTGACCTCATGGCTTCCTAGAGAAAGAAATGATAACATTGAGACCCGAAAGAAGGAACTTAGCCAGGTCTACAGGAAGTGTAAAGAATGGTAATTTAGTGTTTGCAAAACACAGAATGTGCTGGATAAGAATGGGGAGAAAATTACCTGGGATCCCACCCTCCAAAGTCCTGTAAACTTCCTTAAGTAATTTGGATCATTCCTGAGCTCAAAAACTTTCAGCTGCTTTCTAGGACCTACTGAATGAGGTTTCAGCTTAGCTTGGCATTTTATAGAAAGGGACAACAATGGCAAAGTTGGGACTCTGTGCACCAGTAGGGTAAGTAATCCTGGTCAAGTGGTGAGCCCGTCTGGTTGATCGTTATCTTATGCATGGTGAGGTTCTGGGAGCGATACCATCCTGGAGGGGAGCTCATCATCATGAGATGATGGCTCCTGCTGAGGAGACAGTCTTGGTTCCTATCATGGGGTCATTGCTTCTGCTTGACCTTCTGCTTGTGTCAACATGAGATGGTCTGCAAGGCTCTGATATTCCTGGAATTTATGTATTACAGGTTTAGGATAATGACTGGGAACCTCCAGGCATCCCTCCAAGGGTCTAGAACCGGATACTGTAAAAGTTTGCAGGATGTCCTGCAGATCCTGAAAATGATTTTAGGTACTCTGATCTTAGTGTCCTCAGTCTTTGAAGCAGGATGATATAGGCTAAATTTAGAGAAAATGTACCTTGTAATACTAGTTTTTTAGATGATTGTTAGGAGATCAACATCCCTACGTGTAGAGCTGAGCTATGATCTGACCTAGAACTTTAAGGTAATAAAGAGAAAGATAAAAAATGAATGCAGAGATCTAACCTTCACCCTGCTTTTGGTTATCCACTGAGCATCTGCAGACCCAGCCTCTAAGTCCCTGTTACATCTCTATGCTTGAAATCATGCCGTTCCCTCCACCAGGGACTCTGGTGCCATGAAATGTTCTGTCCTGCCTGGTCATCTGTCTGATCCTGTTCTGCCTTTAAAGTTTCTCTAAGTCCTTCTTCCCATGCAGCTTCCCTGATCCCCTCAGTCTCAAAGGACCACTGCCTGCCCTGTGACATCTACCAGGTTGGAGGTTGTAACTCTCCAACACATTGTGAGCTCATTTAGGACAGGAGTCCCACATATGCTCTCTCCATGTGTCCCTAAGTGCCCCATGTCTAGATTCTCTGCTTTGGGTTTCTTCAGGCTCATCTGTCCTCCTGAAACACTGTTCCCACCACCATCATTCTGGAAGCCAAGCCATGAGGGGAGTGATGAAAGCACTGCACTATGTAATTAAGCCTTGGATTTAATTAAAGCTGTGGTTGGTGGCAATGGCCGGAGAACATAAAAAGCTTAGTATGGATAGAGAGGGCTCCCTTTGGATAATTAACTGGGGCTGTGCAGCTGACCCAGAACACTCATGTCAAACCAGAGTCTCTGGTCACAAGAGGGACAGCTGGAGTTCATTTATTCTAGTTTCCTACTCACAGCCCAGGGCATGCTGGGGCCTTTGCTGGCCAGATGAGTTTCAAATTTCCCAGGGACCAGGATCCCACAGCCTGGTCTACCTTATTTGTCACTGTTAGGAAGATCTTCGCTGGGTCCAACCAGGCTCTTTTCTGTTGCAGAATAAACTGATTGAGTTCAATTGCATTGCTTTGCCATCTAGGCTTTTCTGGGATGAACAACCCAAATGCTTTAAAATTTTCCACAAGTTATTGATTTTCCAGTCTTTCAATCATAGATCTTGGTTTCCAGTAGCCCACAGTTTCCTTCAAGTCAGCTGCTATCCCAACCCTGGTGTTACTTTGTGGCTAAACTATTTTGAGTTGGTACTTGGGTGACCTGCTTTGGATTTCCTGTTTTTTCTTCTGCTGTCACCAGCTAGTGTGAGTCTTTAGCTGCATGTAATATGGAAATCAGATAGAAGCTGATTCTTCAGTTACTTCTCCACTGCTGACGGCTATCACTGCTGTCTGTCCTCTTGTTCAGAGCCCTCGAAAGACCAGGGTGCCCACATGGAGCACCAGTAAGTTAACAATTGGATGAGGGTTCTTTTGCTCAGTTTGTATTGAGGATATGAGTTGGCAAAGTGTAGCTCTTATAATGTCCATAGTCCTGAACTTTGAATGCCAGCCACTATCAGCTCTTAGTGTTAGTGGCCTGCCTTAGTGCTCAGAGTCAGCAGCTACCAGCAGGACTTGGGATCTCTTCTGGCCCCTGAAGATGGCAGCTGGCCACATTCAGTGGTCACAGGTCTTACTGTAGTTCAGTATGCTCTACTCAAGTTAGAAATCATGAATAGGCAAAAGTATGCTGTCCAAAAGAGATTTTATTAGAACTTATGCTACAGTGTAAGGTGGAACAGTACACAGACCAGCCTGCAAAGAGTAACGGGAGGTTGCTTGTATAGAGAAAAGGAGGGTTCACGCACGCAGTGTCAGAGTTCCTGTTTGATGGGGGGGGGGGGGGCTCCGCACTAACCTGACTGAAAAGGGCTGCAGAGGGGTGTGGCATCCACAGGGGCTGCAGGGAGGAGTCATCTGGGATCTGTCTGAGACTAAAGCTTGCTGCAGCCAAAGCAAATGTCTCACTGACTGGCTGTGGGCCACCTGATGTACCCAGACTGGCCAGAAGGCATTTGGGGCAGCCTTAAAAGAAAAAATAAAAAGTAGCTCTTGGGGAGTATCAGGCCCTTCTCTCCTGTCTCACTACCTTCGGAAGTTAGTGCATAACACTTTTTTTTTTTTTTTGGTACCAGGGATCAAACTCGGGTCCTTGCGCTTGCAAAACCACTGAGAACCACTGCAGAACCACTGAGCTAAATTCCCAGCCCTAGTGCATAACACTTTTAAAATACTTTTTAAAACTGGGGATCGAACTCAGGACCTTGTGCTCGCGGGGCAGGCATGGCACCACTGAGCTACATCACTAGCCCAGTGGATGACACTTTTAAAATTAGATAGCATAAGTTTTTGATAAAATATGAAAGCACACTAACCTTAAGTGTACGGCTCAACAATTTTTTTAACATTTGTTGTAACTACTACCTTGTTCAAAATGTAGACCATTTCAATACCCTAAAAGATTACCTTCTCTGTCTAAAACCAATCACCCCTGACCAATAAAGGGAATTTTCCCTTTTCTCATCAACTAGTTTTGGAGGGAGCAACACTGTATAACTTTTGACTGTGATATTTTGTGCTCCATGACCCCTCAATGGAGGGTCCCCATGTCAGTGCCTTTCTAGTCAAAGATGGCCAGGAACATGCCTGTCACGGGACCAGCTGCTCTTCTGCTCAGTGCAGTGAGGGAGAGGCTGTGAGGGAAGCATCGGGCCATCTCTGGAGGAGGGATTGGAAAGGACTCCTTAGAATCTGGGCTTTTGTTAGGTCATTTTGGGGAGAGTTTAAGGAAACAGGGCTGTGCTTTGGGTTGGATGCTGTCAAGAAGCAGGGGCAGTTTGATGCCTGGGCATCATCAAAAAGGTTATCTGGAGAGAGGGAGGGCTCGGCCAAGGCTAAAACTGCCACAGATAAGAAGCAACAGTCTCATATTAGCAAGGATGGGTATGGTCGGGCCTTTTTCATAGTTTGGACAGTGTTCATGTTTTGCCCATGCTTGGCTGCGATAACAGAGTGGTTGTGTATGTGCTGTTTCTCTACACGCATGGTCACAGAATGACCATATCTGCTGTCAGTGTTCTGTGAAGCTTATATTCAGCAGGAGCCAACAGGAACACCAAAGCCAGCTGAGTGCCAGGCAGACTTCTGATGCTCAGGGCTGCTTTTCTCTTTCTTACCTACCAACATTCATTGGTGTCTCCTCTAGGCTGAGACTCAAGTAAATAGAAGTGACTTTCTTAGCTGGGTGTGGTAATGCATGCCCATAATCCCAGCTACTCAAGGCTGAGGCAGGAGGATCCCAAGTTCAAGGACAGCCTGGGCAGCTTAGTGAGGCCTTGTCTCAAAATAAAAATATAAAAAGCTGAGGATGTAGCCTGGTGCTCCCTGGGTTTAATCCCTAGTACTGAAAAAAAGAAGGAGGAGAAGAAAAAGAGGAAGAAGACGAGGAGGAGGAGGAGGAGGAAAGAACAAAAGAGGGAGAAAGGAAAAGAAAAAAAAAAGATTTGAATTACTAAGGGTCAGTGTTCTGGAGACAGGAGACAGGAGACCAAAGGTTTTTTTTGGTAGTGTTGGGGTTGGAAGCCAGGGCCTTGCACACAACTGAGCTACACCCTCCTCCCTGGAAACTGAGTTCAAATCCCAGCTGTACCACTTACTGTGAGACCCAGG